CTGAATATTTGATATCCCGGCTGCGGCGGCTGCATTTCCGATGGAGGCGGAAATGTTGTAGGCCCGTGTGCTCAGATTTGGGTGCATGTTAAAGAACCCCAGGTGGTCGAAATTTCCGGAGCCCTCCACTACGGCGTCTCTCATAATCTAATGGTGGTTTTGGGACGTTAAACCCCACATATCAATCAATCAATCGACTGAATATTTGATAATGTTCTGTTAAGAACTTCACCCTACAGTTTAAGATAATGGCATGAAATTTTTCAAAGCATTAAGGTTTATGGAGAGTGAAAACAAAATGCATTTTGTTTTGGGACGTTAAACCCCACATATCAATCAATCAATCGACTGAATATTTGATAATGTTCTGTTAAGAACTTCACCCTACAGTTTGAGATAATGGCATGAAATATTTCAAAGCGTTAAGGTTTATGGAGAGTGAAAACAAAATGCATTTTATGCACGGGTAGATGTAACCCAGGAGGAGGCTGATTGGTGGCTACAATCAAGGCACGAGTGAAATTCGATCTTTCAACACAAAGAGATCATACTTAACTTTATGGCTGCTGCCCGCGCCCGATCTTAAGGGCACAGCTGGATACATCCATCCATCCAGCACGGCGCCATTTCTCACTTGGGAGCATTTCAGCTAACTACACCACATGGGCGCCATGAGGTGAAAATGACTTTGGAAGGGCTGATGGCACCCCTCATCTATGGCAGCCTTAGTACGATTGATTGATGATTGATATGTGGGGTTTAACGTCCCAAAACCACCATATGATTATGAGAGACGCCGTAGTGGAGGGCTCCGGAAATTTCGACCACCTGGGGTTCTTTAACGTGCACCCAAATCTGAGTACACGGGCCTACAACATTTCCGCCTCCATCGCAGCCTTAGTACGAGGCCTTGTGATCAATACATGCTACTAAGGATGTCGGTGCCATCACTAGTGGCTGTGTTGTGCGGACAGCAGCTAGAGCCACTGGATTTCATGTGCCTTGCATAGCAAATACTATATTTACTCGCATAATTTGCACCCTAGCATAATATGTGCACCTCTAGTATTTTCCCAGCTTTACTAGAAAAAATGTTCACGTATTTTGCGCTCTCCGACCCAGCCGAGCCAGATCGCCGGCGCGCGTACAAAGAGACTTTCCAATGCTTCGGAAGGATGCGCGCCTTGCTGAACAGACTAAGCGCAGTCAAATTTGCTGCGAGTACAGAGTCCATTCTTCCGAGGACTTCTACCGAACTAGGGTCCCTAGAATACCATGCACGAACACTCAAACCTAGCTGCTGACTGGTCGACGGAAATGCTCGAGTGTTTCCCTCTCTCTATTTCCCCATCTCTATCGCCTCGAGAATGCACGCTCGCGTCACGGCACGGACAACTTTCTGCATCGGAGGCGTGCGAGCTCTAAGGCCACCAACCATTCCCCTCGTTCACTGCGTTCGCGCTGCAACGCACGCTTGGTCGATTTCGGAAATTTAGGTTTCGTCATTCGGTCGATGCGTTTTTATGGTTCTTTTGCGATGTGCTACAGACTGGATTATACGCAAATGCCTATTTGGTTCTTGCGTTCCTATCATGCCATTTTGACAGATCAGCATGAATTAGAGTGTAAGAAGAGCTTTTGTAGGTTTTTATAGTGCCTATAAATGCCTATTATGGACGTTGGTTACTAAATTCCTATAAGTGCCTATAAATCTCTGTTTTCTAAATCGGTGCCTATATAAATGCTATTTAACCTCAAATTTTGCTTTCAAGTGCTGCTAGAGTGATGTTACTCTGCAAAGTTGAGCTTTTGGAACAATATGAGGTGCATACTATACTCCATCTCATAAGTTACTTTCAGCACTGTCAAGCCTACAAGGCCTCTTAGCCTATAGGAAGGTCGATTAGTCTCTACACAAGAATTCATCTGCCTCGCGTCATCTGCTCGGCATCTTTCATGCATCTGTTCTCTTGCGTAGGGAGCAGGAGGTCCTTTTGTGTAGCGGCAGGAAGATGGAGAACGAATGCGAAACTGTGGAGTGCCACCAGGGGAAAGTAAAGTGTAGATTAAAAAACTATATTCATGTATTTTTGTTTTATTTGTCATTTACTTCCTAAATTCTAAATGGCACTTCACTAGGTCACATAAGAAATTTCACTTAGTGGAAATATTGCATGCCCAATGAAAAGCTTTGAAAGCCCAATGAAAAGCACTTGTGTAGTTCGTTTCAGTCATATCGAAAAGGAAGAAACCCAGGAGCAAGTTCATTCAGAGGTGGACACTTCACTCATCATTCTGGACTAGAAATGGAAAGACTGTATTCTGCGAAGCCTGCGAAAAAAAAAAAATGCATGGCTATGCTAAACCATTAGCGCATTTGTACTATCAAGATTTAAAGCATTTCTGTTTGCTTTCCTGTCATAGACACAGAACCCACACATATGTTTCCGAAAATTTGAATTTTGTCAAAGTTTATTGTGCCTATATTTACGATTTCGGGAGCCTAAAACAATGTTTTGCCCGCCTATTTTTCGCGCCTATAGCCCGGTTTTTAGTGACTATAAATCCAACCTCTGATAATTATATACACGGCGAAATAGAAGCTCGCTGTTGTAAATTTTGCAGAAAAAAATGGGAACCATGCTACTGCGAAGCACTTCAAGGTGATGTACTTCGATGTGTGATGATCGGCGAGATCGGTACGTGAGAAAGCAGAGGAGTGTGCGCTTTCTAATGCATATTTCCTGCCACTGAAGAAGGCGTCTTCAATTATGTGCCAACGCTTAAGTCACCCAATACCGCCATGTTGTGGGACCTAATTTTTCACACCATTGTTGCGAAGAGCTTAAAAAAAAATAGGGCAATCGAACGTACTCGACAAAGCCGAAGACAATGTGCTTTAGGAGGGCAGTGGCAGCGGCCGCGGGGAAGACTCCCAACTGGGCTTTGCGGTCAATGATTCCCATTAGAGATTGGGCGTGACCGGATCTGACTGGTTAAACGTGCTAAATCTTCCAAATTAATAAGTACATTTCGTTTCTTCTCCAATTTCTATAGACATATATATTGCATGCGTTAGGACTGTGACAAAATATTTCGTACACCCTCGCGAAATCCCCACATAATTTGCTCACCCTCTTCTCGGGGTCCCAAAATCGCAAAATAAACATAGCAAAATATGCGAATAAATACGGTTACCAATATGCGAGCAGATGAGTCTGAATTAAGTAGCTTCCTGCTGTGGGTTTATGTCCACTTTTGATGAGAGGAGACTGTGTATAATAATTGATTTATTTGGGGCTAATTATTGAGACTTAAATGCTGTTCTTTACCATTTTGTTGAGGAATTTAAAATAAATGCCTTAGCAAGACCATCTATTGCTTATAGTTAAGCTTGCCCGCATGAGCCATATTTCTTTGGGCTGGTTAATCATGCATTTTAGAGGCTTTCTATTGAGCAGTGGCTGATCTTTCTCGATAAGGTGCCTCGCGTCACTAACATTCCTGCTGCTTCAATGATGGATGTCTTGATGGCTGTGCATTTGTATGGGGCAGTGTTTGCAACACTTGCCTTGTGTATGCTCTTCTGTTTATGCTATAGGTGGCGATGCAGCAGAGGTTCTTTGTTGATCGTCATAGTTCGCGGTTGCTTGTGTTCTGGAAGTGGGCAGTTACTAGGGATGTGTCGTTCAGTCGCAAGTTGAAGCCATCCCTGCTATTTTATTTTTTGTTGTTTTCTGCTTTTTTCATGGCAGTCTGATAATATGCTTGATTGATTGATATGTGGGGTTTAACATCCCAAAACCACTGTATGATTATGAGAGACGCCATAGTAGAGGGCTCCAGAAATTTTGACCACCTGGGGTTTTTTTAGCGTGCATTCAAATTTGAGCACACGGGCCTACAGCATTTTTGCTTTCATCGAAAATACAGCCGCTGCAGCAGTGGTTTGATCCCGTGACCTGCGGGTCAGCAGCCGAGTACCTTAGCCACTAGACCATTGCGGCGAGGCCATCCGTTTTTCTTTGCAGCTGGTTTCCAACCTTCAAAGCAGTCAATGAAAATTTCCATATTATCAGATTAAAGGTCTTTTTTTGTAGATGCTCTATGTATCATCCTGTTTAAAAGCTTCTATAATGAGTTCTGTTATATTTTTTTTCTCCGTCGCTGTTGTAGGGAGCCAACTTTGTCATCATCATTCAGCAGTAACCCACGTGTTCTCTATTTATCGCACTGTGCATTGTAAGCAAGCTGTTTCACATGAATGGCTGCAATACTTATCAGTGCCAGGGGACAATGCTGATGTCCTGAAAGCAATCCTGCCGTCATGTGGCTCCCTCCCTTTGTTGTTCTTCCCAGTGTTTTCTTTATTGTCTCGCGACTTTTGATTGTCTTGCAGAAGGCTGCAAGATGATGTTATTCATGTACCTACCATGCAAAAGGGTGAGCAAGCATTGATTCACATTTTGTCTCCCTGAGTAAACGAAATAAAATGCAACTTGAGCAATCATCACATCATCCTTACTGGCTAGAGGGCCAGATGCTTTCATCTTGCATAGCAGGGGCTCCCGCATAGCTGGATGCTTTCCGGTGGTCACTGCATGCTGTTCGAGTTGGCCACGGCTACTGCAGCATTGTTTGGCAACAAGAATGGAAAAACAGCATCATTGACCTCGGGGAGGCAAGACGCATCGGGAAGGAGTTTAACTTGCATTAGCGCGCGACAAGACCGTTGGCTTCAGGTGAGGTTTGTAAAAACTTCCCCGGAGCCAAGTGTTGTGCGGCCGACATCTGCCGGAACGCCGTCAAGGCGGCGACGAGGAAGAGGCCGAAGGAGAGAAGCGCCGCGTCTCTGCATCCGAAAGGGGCCTTCTCCTGGAAATAAGCTTCATGGCCTCTCGTGGGTGCCTTTCCTAGATTGGGAGGGGAGCAAGCCCTTTCGGCCGCCATGTCGGACCACTGCCAGGTGCTGATGGATCTCCTGCTTTTGTTTCCAACAGCAAAGACGGAAAGCTTCCTCCAGTTGCTCCAGCCGCCTGCTACCGGAAGTCAGCCCACCACGGATGAGGGGAAGGTAAAGCTTGCCACTCACGTGTCTCGGGTTGGGGCGGGTTTTCTCGGGCCGGCTGCAGTTGTCACCCGTTGAGAGCATCATGTGTTGGCAGCCTCTCGGGTGATCGCAGTGTCATCTGTTACAGAGTGTGTGTGCACATTGAAAATCAGATTGCCCAACCCACTTGTAGTGTTAATCCAAATCCATGCACACAAGCTGCTCATTAGAAAATTGAGCTTGCTCATTGACTTCTGTCTCGTAGTGGTTGCCGTGTTCTTTTGAGGAGGTTAGGGGCGGAATCACTAGTATGCGACTGTGATTTTTGCTTGACCTGATTTAATGTCAGTTGTGTTAAAACAGCCAGGTACTATATCCTGACTTGCATACACTCATTTACTTATTATAAGAAGAAGCTCTGCTGCTTTACGATGGCTTGTGTTCTAAGACATTTAGAAGATATAACTGCACTTTTGGTATACTCTATTATATCAGATGAAAAGGAACTTAGTAGCATGGAGGGATTTGAGTTTGCTGGTGGTAGCAGCTAAGGCGGTTGATTGTAGAGCTGTGTTTGTTACATAGTGGGGTTATTATTTTTACATTCCTGCATTCCACATTTTGTTTACCAGCTTTTCCTTAGACAGAACTGTTTCCACTGTGTTAAAAAGTGGTACCTATGCACTCTTAGCCAAACTGTTCATGTGCATGACACACCTGCTGGGGACAGCATTGGACACTTGTGATTATGAAGTTCTCCTGAGGCACTCATCCTGAAGACATTGGAAATGAAGACCGCCTCCTCCTCTGTGTATTAAAGTGTGACACTATACCTGGAACTCTTTCGTGCGAGGCCGCTGACCCACAGGATTGTCCAGGATAGAATTAGGTTACCAAGTTTCTCATCTTCCGAGTCCCATGCTGGCCGTCAGTGCTGGTCCAGCAATCCTGTGATTGCTGCAGCCTTTATCAAGTTCCCTCCTGTGCCCAGTACTGAGAAAGAACTTGACTTCCTTTTCTTCATTGCTTCTTATTCACGTGAACTGTTTGCACCATCTTCACTCCATGGACAATTCCTGTTGAGCAGTGTGAAATTGTGCTTTTAGAGGTTTTAGCGTGGTGCACCGTGCAGAAGATTGTGAAGCACAAAAAATGCCCACATGCTGGCCAATCATTGTCCAGCTGCTTTCTTGGATCAAGTTTTCTTTTCAAACTTGGGACATTGAAGAAGCAGAAAGGTCTTCGAGCCAAGTGGTCGTAGAATCTCGGTGCCATTGGGACGGCACACAGCAAACCACACCAGAAGTGCTTGTACAAATCTCCGATCAAGTTACCCTGACAAACGTTAGTCTTCATTCTTGAGTTGTGTAGTCCTGGAAGCCAGCTGAAATTGTCAGCAAGCAGTGTGTGTCCTCTGGCCGCGTCTTGGTGTGCATCCACTACTGCTACAAACTGTGCCCTGCTGTCTTTTCCAAGGTTCTGATTTGCCAGATCAGCACCATCGACACCATTCGATTTGAAGTGGCTCACTGGCCGTGGTCCTCCTCGGGAATCTGTCCTGCAAACCGTGTGCTGCTTAAAACAGTGTTTTGTGTGGCAAATGGTGTAGCACAGTTGTACATGTGCAACCGGTCCCCTAGCTCTTGGAACAATCTTCAACTCGTGGTGGGAAACTTGAGTTAACTGTTTCTTGCTAGAGGAGCAGCTCATAAGTTGGCTTTTTTTTGTCTTCCCCTGCAGTATCAGTTAAGCACTGTGCGCAAAGTGTAACGAATGAGCAGCCTATGTTGTCGTAAACAGCGAGTGCTTCTTGAGCATGCCAGATGTGTGGCTTTCTTTTCTTTGTCTTTAACTTTCTGTTGGGCTACGTTTTCTGAAACCAGGACCAGGCAGGAGCGGACAAGCAGGCAGGCACGAGTGGGGCGAATTCAAGTGAGTCTCACGGTTTCTGCAGGGAATGGGTAAGGGGTTTTTAAATGTCATAACCGGCCCTCAAGCCTGGTGTATTTCTCTGGAAAAAAAAGACGCAAAAGTAATACATGCATTGCTTTAACACTACGTTGTGTCAAAAGCTTTTGTGTGAGCAAGAGCTATTCTCAGAATGATTCATAGAGCAGCAAAGACTCAGGTGTTAAAAGAAAAAAAGTTTGTGTTGCATGTTCTTTCAGCATTTGTATTTTTACATTGTATTAGCTGTGCCCTTGTAATAAGACAGTTTTACAAAATAATCTTATGTTCTTGACTCCATCGTACCTAGGTGAACATTAGTAAATTTGGTTGTTTCTGTAATCTTTCTACAAAAAACAGAGCTTGAAGTGCTTTTATAGAAATTTTCCAAGGACATAGTATGTTCTAGAACATTTGTTTGAGCAGTGGGCAGGAAGTGCGAGTTTATTCTTTAGCAAATACAGTTTCATAGTAAGGGCTTGGGACAGGGTGAAAAAAGCTGCACGAAACAGCTGAGCAGTGAATCACACGTCTCTAGATTCACTGCAGCAACAAAAGTGCAGGACACAAATAAATTTCAGGACAGTTTAAACGGGCAGTCCGTATGCTATACATAAAAAACAAAAAAGAAATGTACAGGTGAAACTATTAGTACAGACATACTTAGCAAAGCATATTCAAAATGGAAGTATTAGAAAGTTTGCATACATGTTCACTGGTGATATTGAAATTCAGTGTATTTGGGAAGCAATGAGATAGTGCTTTCAAACCATAGTGTGCAGCCTAGGAATGTACCAGGGTGCAGATGAGTGTAGGTGCGTGGCCTTAATGCCTGAACGTGGCAAAACTACTTTGGTGTACACTAGACATCTTGCTGGAAAAAACAAAAAAAAAACAAACTAAGCACTTGTTGAAATCAGGAGCAACAGAAAACTGATGAATTGATATTTTGCAATCTGTATGGGTTTTTATTTTACAATAGAGTGAATGTGCACCCATGACTACGGACCATTATCATCCATATATCTTAGCTGTCTGCACCATCTGCTCTTAGAGCATTTCATTCTCGGTCGAATTCCATTGTAGTAACGCTCTCAACAGCAGATGGCACTAACAATGATTTTGGCTCACATATCCATCGTCCGTATACTGTAGCTCACGGGTGTATCAAAAGTAGACAACATAACGACAGCTTTTTGTGCATTTGCTCCTCAGGAACAAGAAAGTCATACAAGTTTTAAAACCTCAAATAGATTTTTTTTTCTCTTGATTTTGGCAAGTGCCCAGTTTTTCTTACAGCGTTTGCTCGTTGCCGGACTATACTTTGTTGAACCCCTGACTATGTAGCAAACCTTTAACGCAGCTATAGTGTTCACAATGTACCTATAATTGAGAGGAACAGTAACTTTCACCACAAAAATCTTCATTGATGTAGTTCGTGCCTGAGATAAAAAGATTTTCAGAATATTAATCTTATCATTGCAATACATTGGTTGGTGTTCTTTCGTCGGATAACTTGTTGATGAGAAAAGCAATCCACAGTGGTGAAGATGATGGTTTCCGCAGGGAAGAAAAACAGTGATTGCTAGCAGTTCATAACAACTTGAATTTTTAAATGCCCAGTAAACGAGCTCTAAATTGTTTTTTTACACCTTGTAAACAAGCACAGTACTTGGTTTAAAAGTCTGTAGTTCTCATATTCGGCAAATATTGAAAGTGCTGCACAGGCACTCTACTTAAAAAAAAAAAAAAACAATTATTACCTCTATCCAGTTCACTTCAGCTGCAAAGTAATGTAAAGTTGCCCATGGCAAGCTTTTGGTGGCACTACTACGAACAGGTTTCTTACGGGGATGAAGTTTTGCCCGTACAGTCAGCAGTTTTATTTTCCTAAGCTGAAATCTGTTGTTTTCTCTGGAGATGTGTGTACTGGTGTCTACTGGAAATAAGGAGGTGCCCCATTGTTGGCACATCGTGAACCTTGGCCAGAACAGTTTAAAGAAGGTGTGCTGGAATGAGAAGCAACAGGTCAGGGCCGTCTGGTAGCAAACTGCGATGAAGCAAGGTGCCATCACGTAGCACAAAGGGATGATTGGGAGCCGGTGAGTTGAGGCGGTCAATGATCTTACGAAGAGTTGGGTCACGGTGTTGCTCTGCAGAAATATTGAGGAGGTCAGTTACAGCGAGCACAGATGGAATGCTATTGTTTTTCCAAGGTTCTGGAGGGTCTACAGGACAACGGTAAAGCCAGTCTGCATCCTGATGCAAGCGGCCAGACTTGTAGATGACACTGAATGTGTACTGTTGAAGTCGTAATGCCCAACGAACACGCCAACCAGTGGGATCCTTGAGAGAAGACAGCCAGCAGAGGGCGTGGTGATCACTTACAGTTATTACGGTTAAGGTACTGCCTTACAGATATGGATAAGATTGCCCGACGGCCTAAACAAAACAAGATTCTCTCTCTGTTATTGAATATTTCTGTTCCTGCAAAATGGCGTCACACCCAAAAAATCGAATTCTTATCGGTGCAATGGGTCGCATGCTTAGGACATTTCACTCATCTTTTCAATTTCTTGTTTTTTGGGCATTCTATCTTATGAGCTGATTTCTTCTTACGTCAGCAGCTGTGAATATGAGAGAAACGGTCAGCTACATACTTGACATTATAATTGTGCTGGCGCAAGAGATAGTTAAAAAACGTGACAAATCCCTCTTTTTAAGAATCCGTATAGCACGAATGTAAAACGTGTCCTCACAGGGGTTGTTGAGCATTCATTTAGCGTTGTTTCGCCATGCGGGCGAAGGAATGAATGCTATGAAGGCGAAGGAATGAACAAATTGCAATGTCACGCGAAGAACGGTAAGCAGCTGGAGACTTGCAGTGCACACCTCTAGCAGAAAGCATGCACAAAATGAGCATACACAGGACGAGCAGGCACTAACGACTGTCACAGCTCAAGATCTAAAGCATGCTGCTCAAACAGAAAGACGCACGAAATGAACGCACAGGTATACATACACCAGACGAACAGCTGTCACTATTCTTACTTAGTGTGCGAGCACCCTGCTCGTTTCGTAAATGTGGTCGCGGCAGCTAGCGAAGTCACGTTCGTGCTCGCTTTAACTCTTGTAACTTCAAAGCAGGGGAAGCACAAGCTGTACAAAGCGCTCGAATCCTGAGAGAAGTGCACGCGCAAATGAGCAGTCACCCCAGTGAACATTCATACAGTAAAACCTCAATAATTGGAAAGGTTCATGATGAAAAAAGCGCTAAAAATACACACACTCAGAGAGAACAGAGACATGCGCTTACTAGCAACTGAAAATTCTATTTCGAAGCGAACACTAATAAATACATCACGTGCATGTACGTAATTCCAGACTTCCCCTGTAATCATCAACAACGTGATATAATCATAATCGATGACACACAACCGGAAACAAACACGTGTCATGAACTAAGAAAAGAAAACGTAAAAAAAAAACTGAAAAAAAAAAACAAACGGGAAAAAAAACGGAAAAACACTGGATTATGTGGCGTCCAAAAAAGCAAATTCCGCATCTGTTAGTAGAACTGACGCTTGACTGACGCAACTGTCCCCTCCTATTCTTATTCTATACGCTTCCATTATTTCCCTCGTCATCAGTTTGTTGTGCCTGTCAATTATTCGTGTCTGAAAATTTCGGTTGACAGGTGCACTCTTTGCAGTGCATCGCTAAGTGTGGGTAAGGGGCCCCCTTTAGTGAACTCCTTTCTACTGCTGGACAAATCTTTGATCATTTGTTTTCAGCTGAATAAACAACCCGCACGCCATACCTTAATGCAACTTTTTTCAACCTATGTAAAATATTGTGCAGATACGGGATGACCACTGTCTGCTCTTTTTCACCCTAAACTCGTCTCCTCTCTTCGCGTGTGCCAATCATTGCATTTTTCACTTCCCGACGATTCTTCTCACAGGCCAAAAGGATATAATTAACCTGGTAACCAGCTCCTTTCAAGCGCTTGATCTGCATGGAAACACTCTCATTCATTAAGTGTTGCACGATTTCATGAGGGCAGCTTTGATACAAGAAGTTGCGATCCCATTCTTTATTATCTTCGAATGTGCTGAATGATAGCTCAGCAATCGTTTTTCCGATCTATGGTGATACATCCAACACTTGTGAAAAGGAGACAAATTAGTGTTTAGGTCCAGAAACTGAATGCGTCGTTCCTTTGGCACCTCAAAGGTAAACTGTAATCCGCGCCCGTTTTTCCTAAAAGCTTTCAAAACAGTCACTAACGTGCTCATACCCGGATCGTTTTTTACCAAAACAAGGTAGTCATCTACAAATCTGAACAGCTTCAGATCCATACCATCTAGCTCTTTACCTACTGCTGTGTCAAGTTAGCTCAAAAAAATATTGCATAAGATTGTGGGGCGACCCTAGACCCTATGCAAATCCCATCCTTCTGGACGTACAATTCTTCATTCCACCCCACTAGCGTGGAACTCAGATCATGGCCAAAATCTCCATAAAGCCTTCTATAGACACACCACAGGCGTTACAAAAAGCCACTTCATCATTTTTGTCTATGATGCAGTTTTGTACGCTTTGTAGTAACGGACCATGCGGAACAATACTTTCGAGCCCACCTATAACGGCCCCACTTAAAACGAACTTTCACTTAAAACGAACAACATCCACGTGACCGTGAAAATATACATTGGTTCGATAGCACAAAATCGCACTTACAACGAACATCTCCGTGCGTCGAGAATCGGTTACAACGAACAGAGTCAGCAGTCTGCCAACTTTCCGAGAAACCAATTTCGACCACCGATCAGGCATCGGTGAGGTGCCCATACATTCGTATTGTTAAATGCCGGCCCTGCCTCCGCGCCCCTCTAGTTGCTGTTCTTTCCGACCGCTTTTTGTTACGCACCCCTCCGTCCTTTGGCGCCCCGCTACTCTGAGCACCCTGCATCGCCAGACGA